TTACGAGCATGTAACATCTAGCTTGAACAAAGTGGAACTAGCAGCAACTATTAACAGATTAACCAAAAAATTAGTCATGATATTGATTCACATAATATTGTAGAATGAACTGCAATTACATTCTATTCAACAATAAAAAAAGAGATCAATAATACAGCACACAGAAATAATAGCAAACTAAAGAACAAACCTCTAAACACCATGAACATGTAACCATGATCATTGTGGCTGATTTGAGGGTTTAAAATATCATATACTATACTTTTGTAAATATGTACTGCTATTGAAGCATGACCAATCTACAATTATAATATAATCATTCTATAAAGTACATGCTGTAACTCTTTTAAACATCCAACATCCAACAGCATATGAACATCAGATCCCAAAGAATTCCTGTCTTTACAATCATTACTCATAAAAAACATTACCACTGACAATTAAAAGCCATTACCTTATATCACAAGTAAAAAGTGTCTGTCAAACCAAAATAGAATACATATTTGAGGATTCTGTTTGTGCAAAGTATGTTATGATTTCAATAGGTATTCCAAACAAAATTAACTAAAACTTTTACTTTAGTCTGTGAGCAAAATGAGAGGTGAAGTCGGATTAAACTTTCCATGTTAGCACATAAATTACATATAATTAATATCACATTTTTCAATAACACAAAGTTATCTAATAAAGCACTTCATTTTGTTTATATGATTACCCTTTTTAATCATTTTAATTACAATGACATTAATAAAGTAATTTCTACTTGTCACTTTGTAAGAAGAAAAATCAGCATGGAAACACCAATTAATTCTAGCATAATTAGAAAACAAAATAAAGTTACCATCTAACACTTGTCAGATCATGGGTCAAACTTTGAATTTTCACCAGTCTTCAAAAATTTACCCGAGTTCAGAGTTCTTCTTTTCCCAGTCCATTCAGTCCAACCTCCAGCCCTAGGCCTTTGTCTTCAAGCTCTGGTTCCACAGTAGTTTGAGATTCATCACTGATAATGGTCACTGAATCTTCTGTGTCACTGATGTAACCTGGTTCTCCAGTGTAGTGGGTTGGATACACAAATAACGGTGACACAGAATATGCATTGAGATTGCGATTGTCAAAACTCTCTTTCCATTCCTCCTGAAAAAAAGGGGAAAAAAAATTGGCATTCAATATCATGCTCTCTCAGGGGGGGATTTTCTATCAATTTCACAAATCATATTATTAAATAGGAGATTGTATGCAGTTATATCTGAGGCTACTTCTCCCATAGCACATCATAAAATGTAATGCATGCTTCATAGTATTGTGATATGAATGACCTGTGGCACGGAGTCATGCCTAAGATGGCCATGACACAAATGTTAAAAATTTGGGTATGGATCATTATCTGGAAATAATCATGGTGACATAAATATTATTTCTAGGTTTTAATAAAAAGATATTATTTAACATAATCCAAACAGTATTCCATCCAAATACTTAAATTAGTATCACTTTGTTTAAGAGTAAAATAAGAAGTGTCTAAAAATAAAAGTAAAGCAGCATCTTCACTTAGAAAGTATGATAAAAATGCACTACAAGAAAGTGTCATTCTTTACCAACTTTAAACCACAACATAGCAATGTTGACACAGCAGAAAATTTTCTATAAATAGATTTCATATCCATACGACCATGACGGCCATGAATTTTGACTAATACCCTGTATTATATCAACAAGCCTTGTATAGTATGCTTATATATCGAGTACTTAACTATATTACAAATATTATCACTTAATATGTAAATATATATTTAGGTTTTGATTAGAACAATTTTCCAATTCTTAAGTAAATTTGTCTGTGAACTTACGTCAGGGTGTCTGTCAAACATAATTGGCAGGTATTCATCGACAGGCAGCATCTTCCCAAGAGGCTCACCATCTAGAAGCTTTTTTGCACCTTCTAGTGTGATGACGTAGCACAGTGTCCAATAGGAATAACCAACATGAACCAAATAGTCTGAATCATCCACCTGTACAAATGGAAAGCATCATCTAAAAGCTGTACTACTACCATAATTTGTTAATTTCACTATCTAACTAATGAATAATAAATATACTGCTGCAAATAACAATAACATCAACAGAAATAATGATCAAGGCCCTTAAATTCTATAATGGTAATGACAGCTGAGAAATAATTTACTTAGCAAAAAAAAGAAAAAAGAAAAAAGAAAAGAAGAATCTTGTTATGGGGAAAAATTATTATTAACATTCCTAAGGTTTCGGACAAAAATATGTATAATTGTTGTAACTGAAGACAGTGACAATAATAAAAACAACAAGGATAATTACAATATTAGTGACTGCGATGTTAATAATGGCAATAACTAGTAAATAAAACAATTATGATAATATTAAAAATGATGATGGTGGTGACCCTGTTGTATATTCTTTAAAATAAATAATGAAATGCTCCATACTTTTCAAATATGAATTCAACTAAGCTTGTTCCTCTCGCATAAATATTTATCATCAATGAAAGACACAAACACAACAGAATAATAATTTCTTCAATACCATTCATCAAACATATAAGTACAAACCACGAACCACCTTGCTTACCCAAGGTTCATCTGCACTTTTGAGTTTTTTCCGACCAAGGTAGATCAAGTCCCAATCGACCAATTCGGTTGATTGCCGAACCATGTGCCTTACTTTCTCCCTAAAGAAAGGCTCAAATCGAATGTCATCTTCAAAGAGTAGAACCTGAAAGGGATAAATGAAAGGCTTAAAAAGTTGTCAGATATCTGGTCACTTTCCAAACACATTTTTTTTTCTTAGAACAGGTCTTTGAACAAAAATACATATATATATATATATATATATATATATATATATATATATATATATATATATATATATATTATATATATATATATATATACACACACACATACATATATATATATATACATAATCTATATATACATATACACATAATCTATATACACATAAACACATAATCTATATATCTATATATATATATCTGTACATATCTATATATATATATATATATATATGTAAAACATGCAAGAATTGGAATACACAAATACTAATCAAAATTGAATTTTTACTATGTGACAGTAAAGCCTTTGTCTAATAAGTTTTATAATACTTTCTTGGGTCACTTCAGCACACTCTGTAAAATAAAAAAAAGGCTTTTATAATCCATAATAATGAAATCATGCTTATACCAGTGCTACTTACTCTACTTTCAGAAAAAAAATGCCTAAGCAATGAACAGAAAGTAGAGTCTACTAATCAATGTTAACCATTCATGCAATAATAGTTTAGTAGTACCTATTATAGAAACACATGAAAGAACAGAAAAAAAAGCAAATTCATCTAGACCCAATTTTCTACAAGCAATGAAGGTCCTATAAAATGTATCTTAGTTTTTCACAGCCTTTGTGCCTTTATATTCTGGCAAGAGTGAAATTTTAAGTAGACCCTCATTACATGGTAATTACAAAAAACAGTATTCAATCTCTTATTTGACAGAATATATGTGGTGTGATTTGATGGCCCTTCCCTGAGTGAAAAAGTGCATGTACTATTAAACAATACTTTTCTTCATCTGTACACACATAAAATACATCTGTCAAATTGGTAATTGTTCAACAAAGGATTGCATAAAGTGATGCTATGGCCTCCTTGCTTTGTGCCCTGGCAAAGAATGAGAAACTTCACTTATTGTGGGCCAACATTTGTTAAGTTTGAATGGGTGTTTGACAAGCTCTATCTTCCCTGTTTATTTGCTTTAACTAGAGCACAAAACACAGGAGCTGCTGAACTTGGCTCAATGAGCCTAGATTCACAGATTGATAAGTACTTATAATCTTTGAAACAAGGTCTGCACATACCAAAGAAAAATAAAGTTAATACCTTTAAGGAACACAAATACATACTACTAGCATAAAAACAATTTGCAGAATGTGAAGGTAACCCCACAACATAGACACCACAGTGTACCTTAGCTCTCTGGGAAAAAGACAATAAGCCTCCACCATGTACACAGTATTCTGGCAATATAGAGCTCATAAACCACTCGGATGATCTTCTATCAAATATAGAATCAGTATAAGATCTATCTTCCCAAATGTAAGTGGTCGTTTTGTTAGCTTTTGCAAGGGTGTGTAGGCCATTGCAATCAGAGGTTTTACTGTCTCTGGGGTATAGAGTAATGTTCACAAATTACCACTCAACTTTCTGCATATTATTTTTCATAACTATTTTTTTTTTTATCTTATCTACAACTATATTTAAATACAATATCTACAAACCCCTACACTACATTACCTTTTCATACCCATTGTTTACTATATCTTCCCAGATGAAATAGTGACTTAGGAAGCATCCAATCTCACCAAAGGTCATATCTCTCTGTGCCCAGGGATCCTTGTAGCCTTCCAATTGCTTCACTCCCAACTGCTTGAGGTAAGTATCGTTCAGCAGTTGCCCATCCACGGCATCAAAAATCTTGACATCCAAACCTAATTCGTCAAAACATAGTTGCATTCTCTCACGCCTTTCATGTCGACGACCAAGGCTAATCAAGTATATCTGATCAAAACCTAGTTTATCCTTTTTTGGCATTGGAGGTACATATTTGGCTAAGTTTGGGGTTACTGGTAGAGAAGGATAGAAAACAAGAACTTCAAGCTTTATGCTTAGAAGCTGTCTAAGGTCAATGTCCATACCTTGATTATCATCAAGAGGTGGAGGGATAAACCCATATATTATGGAATTGCAAACATACATCTCAATACCAGCATTCTTTGCAGATACTGCAAATGTGATAATATCGTCATTTGGACCATTGTACCCTTGAACATTCTTTGGCACGAATGTAAGATTGTCTGAAGCACTCCGCGTAAGGTCGACCAACACAAAAGAATGGACCATAGGCACGGCAAAGCATCCCCTTTCCTTTCGTTCCAATATAGGAAGGTAATCAT